CACTTGCTGGGCCCCGTAGGGGTCCACCAGGAAGGGCTCCCCGCTGAAGGTCGTCTCTTGGAACGCGAGGGGCCTGCTCTGTGGCGGCGCACGGCGCGGCCGCCCGAATTTTCGACGAGTCGAGAATTTGTTCCGGGGCTCGGGCCATCATCATGCTTGCGCGGGAGCGCCGAAACTCGCTCGCGGGGCTGGAGGACATGCTGGCGCGCGACCCGCCTTCCCCCCCCCCCCTGCGGCCCCGACTTCTCGGGCAGCTCGTTGGGGGGCGCGGGTGGCGCTGCCGCGCTTGCGCCTGGACTTGCACGTGCCGAGCGTGACCTTCTTCGACAAGAGCGGGCCGCCTGTCGCCCGACTTCCTGCCGGCGGCCCACCATCGTCAGCGACGCCGTGGCCCCCGGCAGGTTCTTGCCCGCGTTCGTCGACGGCTCCAACGCGGGGGCGGAGGCCCGCATTCTGAAGGTCCACAACTACGACTTCCCAGATATTCAGAAGCCTACGGTGGCGAGGGAGCGGCAGTCCCATGCGCAGTGGGCCGCGGCAGGCCCGCGCCAGCGGGCGTTCGTGGCCGGGGGCGACGTCGGCTTCACTGACGACCCCTCGCGTTCCCACCTCATGCCGCGGTCTGGAGTGCCCGGGCAGACGTGGGAGGGCAGCCTCCAGAAGAACCAGAGCTTCTGGCGCCAGATCGCGCGCGCGGATGGCATTGAGAGCGAAGCCGACATCCAGGTCCTCTTTTCGAGACGCTACCAAGTGGCCAGTGCCGTGGGCCAGTCTTCCATCGCGATGCTGCCTGCCTTCGCCCCGTGCCTGAACAGTCGGCTCAATGTCGCGCAAGAAGCGTCGGCCTTCTCGGGCGCGCGCCTCAGAGACCGCGCCGTCGTCGAGCTCGCCGTCGACGCCAGAGCGGCGCCCGTCAAAGACGCGCGCCCCGTCCCTGGCTTCGTCTTCCGCTCGAAGTAGCGCGGGGCCCCGCTGCAGAAAGTGCGCGTGGAGGCCGAGCTCGACGCCGCGGCCCAGCTGCGCCGCTACGACGCCGCGAAGGCGATGGTGATTCTGGCGGCAGGGCTTGCCCGCGACGAGCTGCAGCAGCTGCCGCAGGGCGCGGGCGACGGCAACCCGCCGGTGAGTGGGCGCCTCGCGCTCCGTGTCATGCCTCGCGCCGCGCGGCGCGCCGACTGCCGCGCTGCGCGCCGGCTGCCCGCCGCCGCCGAGCTGGGTGGCATGCGCTTGGGCGTCTCGGGCCTTTCCCCGCGGCTTCGTGCCTCTGCGAAGTTTCAGAGCGGAGTGTTCCGCGGCGACCGTGCGCGGTTCGAGCGGGCGATGCGCCGGTCGGCTTCGCGCGGAGACCGCGCCGCCGACTGGCCCGCGCCGGGGGGCGGCGTCGGATGCCGCGGGCGCTCGAGAAGCGCGCGGCGCTCTGGGCGCTTTTTTCACAGCGCCCTTTCTTGCGCGGCATTGCGCCGGCTCGGACTGCTCGGAATCCTCGAGCAGCGGGGGGCGGCTCGCTTCTCCCGCCGCTGGCCCGCGCCCCAGAGACGTCGCCGTGGCGCCGCGCTGCCGCTGGGCGCCCATCTTCAGGTTGGGCCGTCTCGCGTAAGCAGATCGACAATTTTCCCGACTCCTCATTTCCCGCGTTACTGTGGATGATATCCCCGTCCCCTTCCTCCATGCTTTGCGCGACGCCTTCGAGCGCGGCGGGGATTCTGCTCTGGGGCCCGACCGTCTGTCGTGCCGAGCCTGGCTGGCAGTGCCCCATCTTGCTGAGACCGTTCAGCAGCGCCCCAGCTCCGCCGGCGCTCGACCATTTGATTTTTGGCCCCCCCCCCCCCCCCCCCCCCACCCCCCCCCCCCCCCCCCGAAGGGCAACAATGTGGGCGATGCGACTGACTGCTTCCGCGCTGCATCAGAAGTTCGCCCGCTCTCGCTGAAAAGCTTCGACGCCAATGCCTCCGCCTCAGCAGTTCATCTCCGGCTGGCAAAGTTAGCGGAAGAGAGAGTGCGCGAGACGCAGCAGATGTGCTCTCGTGGCAGGATTTTGTCCCAGAGCACTGCCGGGCTTGGCGCCTGTGCGCGGGCGGCGGGTTTGCGCGAATATGCTGCATGTCGAGTGCCTCTTTTTGTTGGGGCCCCGTCGCGCGATCGTCAGGGCCCGCGCTGCGCTGGGCCCGCTCGAAGCTTCCCTCGGAGGCTGCGCCGACGACGTCGGCGCGACCCTGGCGAAGCTCTCCTACTTCACTCGCCTTGAGGCGAAGTACCTGGGTGCGCGCGTCGGCCCTCAGGCGACGAACGCACTCCAGTGGCAGGCCTGCTCGCAGAAATGGTGTGGGGAGAATCCTGAAGACCTCTGCCCCTGACGCCCCCTCGACTCCTCCCTTCGCATGTGCGGATTCGCGATTCTCCCCGCCTCGGGCAACGTGGCCCAGTTGCCCGCCGCCGAAGGTGCTCCTTCTTTAAGAACCACGCTGCATTCGCAAGCTGCTCAAACTGCCGCTGGACTCTTTCACGGGGCGCGATCTCTGGCCCCATCCGAGGCTGGGCGCCCAGCGCGACCCCGACCTCGATGGCCGCGTGCGCGTCGGCGACGAGCTGGCGCGCGGCGCAAAGCGCCGTCCCCAGCGCGCTGCGTGGTGCTCTGCGAGACATTCTCTGAGCGCTAGTGGTATCCCTCGCCCAGGGCCTCCTCTCATAATTTGCATTAGTTTGTCCCACTCGTAAGCTGTGCTGGGTAGCTCGGGCTTATTAGTCATAGGATTTGCACTCCGGGCGTTGCGCTTCCAATATCTGCCAACTCTGAGGCACCCAGGTGCATTGTCGGGCGAGTGATGTCTTTGTTGCCCAATATATACATATATGTATACTCAAGTAGAAATTCTGGATACCTTCGTGACGTATATTTGCTGTAGCTGGCTTCTCTGGGCCGCAGGACTTTCGAATCGGGGTCCCGGGCATCCCGTAGTTGGGCTTTTCGCGACGAGACAATTTTTGTAAAAGGTACCGAATGCATATTTCGAAAACGGTTTTCCTGGGCGCTCCGGTGAGACTGGGCGCGGCAACGTGGCCGGCCTCGCCTCAGACCCAGAATAGCACTGCGCTCTGGGATTTTGGTTCAAGTCCGGCCCAGACGCCAGCGCGGCGCATCGTGCGTTCGCACGTGAGAGAAGACGGGCTCGCACGCTCGACTTTGCCACCAATCGAAGCCTGAGCGGGTTGAAGCAGATCCGACATTCAAATGTGGCGGACGCGCTGGGGAAGATTTTGCATTGGGACTCCTGGAAGTGCGATCTCACATGTGCGAGTTATCTCCAGAGGGATAAACCCAAGCGAAAGGCAACTTTGGCCGACGGCGAGAGGTCCGATGGCTCTGACAGCGGACTGGGCCCGGAGCGGGAGCGCCGGGGCCCTCTCTCGAACTCGAGCGACAGCGAGTGCGAGCGCGCCCGCGCCAGGATCGAGTCTGCGGAAAAGCTCATCGTCGCAGCGTCGAGCGAGGCCCCATGAGACGGGGCCTCCGAGGGGGGCGGCAAGGTTCGATGCATTTCAAACGCTTTTTAAAGTGGAGACCATCGAGCGGCGGATCATCGGGGTGGCTCAGGCGAGACGGGCTGAAAACGTCTTGGAGGACCAGATCTCGACGTGCGTGGGTGGATTGGCGCATCAGGAAATTCGAGGTGAGCACGCAGCTGTTCGTCTTCGCCTTCGAGTCTCGGAGGCCGAGCTGGCCGCTTGCGGTGGAACCCTTGGGCGAGATCTCGAGGCCGCTCGGAGGCCCATTGGCGACGAAGAGCAGGAATGACGACGACGGTGGATCGCTGACGCTCGGCGTGGGGCGACGCTGCGCATTAGAGCGAATTGAACGACTACGTGGCGCAGCGCGATGCAGCCATGGCCGCGGCCGGCGAGATTCGATGCCGAGCCGTCGATCGCCGCTGCGGGGCAAGCCTTGGCCACGCGTGTTGGCAACGCCGAGGCTGCTTTTCGCGGCGAGGCCGCCACTGCTGGCCACGCCGAGGCTGCTCTTTGCGGCGGGGCCGTTGCTGCTGGCAGCGTCGAGGCCGAGTTTCGCGCCGAGACTGAGTAGGTCGCGGCAGTTGGGGGTCGGCTGCAGAGCGAGTGGCTGGACGCGCTGAGGATCACGTTTAGCTCCGCGAAGAAGCTCGGTAGCTCGACCTGAATTTGCAGACAGAGTCCAATCTTGCCGAGTTGGCTCGCCGCCGATTGACACTTCGGGCCCGAGTGCCAGATGGTGGTCTCCGCGAAGAGGTTCGTGGGGCCGATGTCCGATGCGAGGCAGTTGGGGCCAACGCGGCCAGGCAGGTCGCAGCTGCTCAGGCCGATGCTGGCGCGCGCGTGGCAGCTGCCCAGCCTGCGGAGGTCGAGTGCCAGCGTGGCGCTGATTCAGCGAGGGTCAGCTTCTATGCCGGCCAGGCGCTCCACTACGCCGAGCGCGATCGCTGCGTGGAGGAGATCGGCGAGGTGTAGACTACTGCCTGGGAGCTGCGGGCGGAGAAGGCCGCGCTGGCAGAGGCTGCCGAGGTGCTTGCCCAGCTGCAGTCCGACGAGGTTCAGGGCGACGTGCAGCACGAGTGGGGTGACCAGGAGGCTGACTTCGATTTCGTGAGCCACGCTGGACTTCTGGACCATCAGCCGCCTCCACGTCTTCCAGCGCGCCTGGGGGCTTCGTCGAGTCCGGCGCCGCCTTGTGCGGGCGTTGCCGGGGCGATGCTCATGCGGCACATGGCCGAGCGGCAGCGCGCAGGCGCCGAGGGGCAGCGCGCGCTGCTGGCCGGGCTTGCGCGTGCGGAGGAGAACTTGGCGGAGGCTCAGCGGGGGTCGGCTTCGAAGTTGAAACCAGCGAAGCCCGCCTTGATGACTTCCGACACTGCGACCCTGCAGCAGGTGCTCGAGAAGTTCAAGATCTACCAGGACGAGTCGCGCTAAACGAGCAAACCATCTGGATTGAGGGCGCTCGGGCGATCGCAGATGGCGCGGCGAAGATCGAGATGGAGGATTGGATCGTGACCGAGTTGGGCGGCGAGGGCGCGCGCCGGGCATTGCTGCAGGAGCGCGCCAGCCCAAAGTGGGAGGCGATCTGGATGAAGTGCATCAGGCGCCTGAATGTTGCGGCGCACCTTGACGACGAACGCGAGGCGAACGAGGCGGCGCGGAAGTGCTCCAACCTGAGATGCTCTGCCTGGCAAATCGTCTCCAGGGCGCTCTGGTGAGATTGGGCACGGCAACGTGGCCAGCGTCACCTCAGACCATGTATAGTACTGACTTGTCGCATTTTGGCTCAAGTCTGGCCAAGACGCTGGCACGACACACGGTACGTTCGCGCATTGGGAAAAAGGCGAGTTCGTACGCTCGGCTCTGCCACCGACCGACACGAGAAGCGAGCCAGTGCCAGTCTGGATTCTTGGGTCCGCGAATCTCTGGGTTGACCGCGACGCCCACTCTACGAGAAATTTTGCCCCGTAGCTCAGTTGGCTGTGATCAAGCATCATGAGTTGTTGAAGCAGGCCTGACACTCATCTGAGCTTGAGGCAAGCCCCAGGCGCCACAGCACGCTTGTCCACCATGTCCAAGACCTCTGGTCCCCGCTACGCTGGCCAAAACCCGCGGGCCATTGTGCAATTTCCACGCGGCCGTGCACGCTCCATCGCGCTCCCGAGGGTCGCCCTTGCCCCCCCCAACGGACCGCTGCTGCCGAGGCCTCCCAAGCAGCCGCGGTCGCCGAGGTGCTTCAAAAGCGTCCGCCTCTCCAGGGGCTGTGCGCTCCTTCCCTCGCCCACCCGTGAAGTGTACCCAGACAGGCTGCGCCTGACGCTGGAGAAGCGCGATCGTGCCTGGTATCCATAGCTCAGTGTCCCCCGCTCCTCGCTTATCGCTGGCAGGCGTTGAAGGTTGTCCTGGCCAAGGCCCGCCCCGCCGTTTTTTGGTCGGCTTTGAAAACGTTCGCGGGAGGGTGGGTCACCGCCCGTCGGATGCATTTTTGGGCCAGCGGGGATGCGGGGTGCAAGGGCGAGCCTGACGCCAGTACCCACTACTTCTCCTGCCCCCGCCTCGCCTGCTTCACTTCGTCCCCCTACCTCGCTCCTTCTTCCCCGTCCCGGTGATCGTCCGCCCCGGTCTGGGCAAAGAGGAGACCTCTAGGGAGCGCGCTCTCTGGCTCTTGGCCCTCGCATTCAAGCATTACCACAAGCTACGTGCACGCACGCCTGGCGCGCCCATTCCATATCCCGAGCACCTTGAGGTGTTTTCTGCTGCACGCTCGCTCGAGGCGTGAGGCTGGAACGTCGCCTTGTCAAGCTACGTGCGATCATCATCATCATCATCATCATCATCATCATCATCATCAGCATCATCACCATCATCAATCAGCATCGTCGTCATCATCAGCATCATCACCATCATCATCACCATCATCATCATCACCATCATCATCATCACCACCATCATCATCATCATCATCATCATAGTTACCATTACCAGTGCACCATTATCATCATCATCATCGTCGTCGTCGTCATCATCATCGTCGTCGTCATCATCGCCGTCATCGTTATTATCATCGTCATCGTCAACATCATCGTCATCATCACCACTACCGCCACCATCCTCCTCCTCCTCATCATCATCATCATCACCACCATCATCATCTTCACCATGCCTATTTTCGTATCCCAGTCATAATCCGTTCTTCTGTCTCCTCCCGCCTGGCTTCTCCAGATTCCCATGGACTCCTGGTTCCATCCCAGCTCCGATTGTGCTTCTGACAGGCGGCTTACAACAAGCTTGTGAAAGAGCTCGAAGACGAGGAGACTGAGCGCAACCAAAACATCGTGATGATGGTTACCGACAAGGCTCGCTTGTCATTTAGTCGAGGAGGCGGAAGGGAGAGGGTGGGCGGACGAAAATGGAGGTGGGAGGAAGATAATGCTGTGTTTCGTGCATATCAAGCTCCAAGGACATGGATGGTGATTCGTCGCCGCCGCCGCCGCCACCGACGTCGTCGTCGTCGTCGTCGTCGTCGTCGTCGGTCGTCCGTCCTCATCGTCGTCGTCGTTTTTTTGTTTTCTCTGTCGTCGCCGTCCGCCGCCGGTCGTTTGTCATCGTCCCTCGTAGCCATTTCGGCCCAAGTCGCCACCGCGTGCTCGAGGTGGCGAGGCGGCCTCGGCCCAGGGCTGCGCTGCCGGGGCGGCCTCCGAGGCGGGGGCCTCCAGCGACAGGGTTGCGCTGGCTGCGATTCGTGACGCGGCAGTGGGGCGATGCCGCGTGAGCACAGGGCGCTGCCCAAGAGCGCATGTGCGCAGCCTACGCCGAGCGCGCCAGGGCATGGCGGACGCAGGCAGGCGGTGGCGGCGGAGAAGTCGGGGGCAACTATAGGGCGGGATAGGCATAGGGGGGCCCGATAGCCCCAACCTGCCCAGGAAGGTGCGGGTTCATTATCGGAGGCCTATCGCCGAACTATCGGCCATGTATTGCCGATTCCAGGTCGATGCT